AAAATTATAATTTGGTAGTTAATTTTAATCTGTAATATACAATATAAACTAATATACAAAAGAACATTTTACTAAATTATTTTAATAAAAGTATTAAACTGTACATTTCAATAAATATATATTATTATTTTTCAAAACTACATTTGAACAATTTTAACAACAAAATATGCATTTTTTATATATTATCTTATTACTTTTTGTAGAATTTATTTTCATTGATTTATTGAAAACATTACATAATCTTTTTATAGTTGCTCTATTCGTGATAAAATAAATGTAATATATAATTAAACAAACAAATAAAAAATAGTAGCTTTTATGCTATAAAATTATGATTACTTTAGTAATTTATTTAAAATGAACTTTAATCAGACCACCTCCCTCAAGTTATATTGTTTATAAATAAATTTTTGTTTTGCAATTTATTGATTACTGATGATACACAAAATTTATTTAAGTATATTTAATCATTGTAAAAATTTTTTTTATACAATTAGTTCGTTACGGCATTATATTCATTTATAATTTATTAAATTAAATTATTCCTCAGAAGTTGTATTAGTTCCTCGAGTTGTATTATTTTTCGATGTTAATTTGTTGTACACATGTTTTGTTAATTTGGCAGCTTGGTAACCTGAAATGAACAAAAACAAAATTTTACTAGATGAAAAATCTAAATTTTAGTTTGATTTCTATAAATGTTCTTCAATAAAAAAAGTATGGGACGTAACTAAATTGTATACAAAATTGCCCACAAAATTTCCACTCTCTTAAATTGATTCTAGCGAAAGTTTTAAGGTGACTAAATAAGCTTATTTCAAAATAAAATTTAAATAATATACTTACCATAATATAATGGTACCAAAGGTGGTACAAATAGCAAAGGAAAAGGTGGTGTAATCACTTCATGTACTTTTTTAGCTAAATCAACAACTTTATTTATTGGTCCTAAAATTCCATAAACTTCAGGATTTAAAATTGAAAATATCAAAATACAATATATGAACTTGTGTTTCAAATTCATATTACCATACTAAAACTTACGTCGTAAAAACAATTTGCTAAAGTACATATTGCAAAATATATTTATTGTAAACTTAGGAAATATATTTGCCCTTAACAAATATTTCATGATGTTGACATATAAATCCAATATAAATTATTTACATAATATTGAGAAGTCGTTATTATAATTTTATTAATTAAATACATTTGTAAATAATATTTCTACAAAACATGTTTGTAATGTATCGCAATTTTTTTTTTTGCAGTACATTGAAAAGTCAGAAAAGTTGATTGAAATCAAATAGTACTCATAAAAAGAAGCTTATTTTTATTTGTAATTATAAAATAACTTTATTTTTAATAATGTTACTATATTAGATTATATTACTATAATATTACATTTTTTTACTTGTTTTTTAGCATCACTCCATGCAATTTTTAATTTTTAATAAATTTTAACAATAAATCACTACAAATGACAGCATTAAATTTCAAACTGAAACTTAAAATTAATATTATAATTATACTTTAATAATTTCATTTTCTTATTATCGATATTAATAATGAACATATAAAATACAATTAATTTTGTAGACTTAATTGGACAAGGCTAATTTGTAGATTAATTTTGCAACGATATAAAGTACTCCATCAAAAAGTTTGAAACTTAAATTTAAATATTATAAGCAAAAAATATATATCTATAGTAAAACTGTAGAGTAATTAATGAATTTAGCCACTGAAATGGAAAAAAATAAATATTGCTTTTTTTTTAATTTTAAACGTTAAAATATTTTTCGTCCCAGAATAAAAGTATAAGTTTGATGTTTAGAACGATATTTATTGAAGCCAATACATTTTTAGGTTTTAGTATAAAGTTATTTGCCCGGTAATTATTTTATAATCAATGAAGTATTTTATTTATACTTCTGGATAATCGATTTTGCAACGATTCAAATAGTTGGATATTGAAGTATTGGCCATCATATTTTTTATATAGATTTCTATCCCCTTAACTGTGCTAGAGGTTGGACTGAAAAAAATTCAATAAATTACTAATTCTAGTAGAATATATTTTATATATAGAAGTTCTAATACAATTTCTTTATTATATCTTACAAATGCCTGTCAAAAGCCTATAACCGCCTGCGCCAAAATCTGATAACCCAAAAATGCTGGGAATTTTCAAAGAATATACGTTACTTGGGAAAATTACTAAAATAATTGCAAAAACTGTGAACAAAATTGAATTTAGATTCATTTTCTTAGTATATACTAAACTTGATCTAAGTTTATTACTACAATCTAAGATAATAATGAACTAGAAGTCGACATTTCATTTTAATTTATATCAATCCTGACAAAAGATGTGCTCATTGTGATTTACGTATAAATAAATAAATAATCTACGTAAATCTGATTTCTACATGTTTATTTAATAATTGTTTATTTATATTTAATACTATTTTGCACTAATCGATCTTAATTGAAAACATATACTTGGAGAGAACAATTTGAGACAATTAAGATAAAATTAACATTTTATTTGAGATGAAATTATGCTCTTTTTATCTAACACTTATTACAAGTATTATAAAAATGAAGTTGATAAAAAAACTCTTGAAATATTTATCATAATATAAAACATAATTTATTTACTATATATATATATATATATATATATATTATTTTATTTTATTTATGGCATATGACCGTGAAGTCATTTAACCTCTTATTACATAAATAATATTTTACAAATTTATAAATACCAGAAAAATACATATTTCACAAATTGTTTACTACATAAGATTGTGACTTAATTCATAAAACCTAAATAACTAATACTTTATTTTTAGTTCTATATTTTAATATTACATTTTTGTAAGAAATTCACAAAAATTGTATATATATTTTCATCATTAGTGGAAAAGGCTATTATGGTGTTAATAGGAAAATATTATTATATATAATAATTTCCCAATTAAACATTCACAAAACACAAATGAAAAACTGAAAATTCTGAAAAAATTATTGAATATTTTGAAAATCTTGTTTTTTGAAACCCTCAAATCGGATGTTCAATTGTCTTACAATCGATATTTTTATTCAAAAAATATTTTGAAAAACTTAAAAATTTTTAAAACTATTAAACCGAATATTCAGTTGTCTTATAAGCAATATTTTAGCTCTTTTCTAATCCGTACCTCCAAAATTGCTGGACCTGCCTTTGTTAAATACTAGTCAGCACGTTTTCCGAATGTTTTTTGATCCGTTTTTTTAGAACTTGCTAAATGACATACATACAAAACGTACAAAATAAAACAAATTACTTTGTATTGTAACTTTTCAAACGTAAAACTTTATTTAAAAACTCTAATTTCGTTATAAGAATTGACGCAAAAATATTTTGCAATAACTTTTATACAGTTATATTTTGATTATGAAAATTAAATTGAGTTTCTACTTACAAAATATATAAATATAAATTATATATTTACATTGTTTATTTTTGCAATATTTATGATTTAGTTAGAGAGTAAAATTTATTCGTATTCAGGATGCAGATGATTAGTTTATTAAATTTTGTTTTAATATTTTTGATTTTGATTACGATGGTCAATTTAAACGATGCTTTTCCAAATCCGGGGTTGGATCCAGGTGAATATTTATTATAAAATAAATATTTTTTAGTTATGTATTTAGCTTATAAGTTGATTAGATTTTATTATTAGTCAAGTGTTTCTTTTAAAGTTACAAATATTTGTAACGTTTATCATAATTTTAATTCAATTTTTTACCTCTGAAGAAAACAAAAATCATTTACCTTTCATTGGTACAATTATAAAAAAAATTACACAACTTTTGCACATAATAATATTTATTATTTTTATATAACAATTTATTTAAAACATTTTCTTACATTATAAACAATGTGTTCATATTTATTAGAATTTTCAATTATTATTTTTAAAAATATCTTGTGATTTTTTCTTCAACAGCAGCTTCATCTGCTTTTTGGCTGCTTCAACCACAATCTTTACTAACTGTAAAAAAAATAATTTAGTTTTTTTTTAATTATAATTTTTTTTAATTATAAACCTTCTTATAACTTCTCATGTACAGAAGATATTTAATAAACAAATTTTCTCATTATTGGCATATATATAGACTTATAATTAGTGATTTTTTGTTCCGCAAAAATTCGGTTTATAGAGGAGTAAGATAAATCATAAAAGATCAGAGTGACTCAATTACATTTAAATTTTGTAATAATAAATTTATTTTATTATTTTTAACTAAAATAGTATTGGCTGCTAGACAAGGAACAACGAAAAGAGATGGGGATGCAATTATTATAACTTTGACAACAAAAAGTCCATTGGGTTTGGCAAAGCAATCTGTCGATAGATTTTTACAACAAATTTTTTAGAACTAACAATAAGTGACTTTAAATTATAAACATAGAAAAAACTATATATACAATATATTTAATATACAATATATTATATATACAATATATTACATATTCCGTTTTAACATGATCGTCCAAACCGTTTCTTTGTAAAAGTGTAACGATCATAATCGTCAAATTTTTTAAGTCCAAAAAGATTGATAAAATTCCAAAATCTATATTAATAATTTATAAAAAAAATCTGTACGATTGAGTTATTTCAGAATGCGCTCCCAATTTTGGTGTTTGCAAAGTATATCCAAAATTATCATAAATAATATTACAAAAAATAGTTAAATAACAAATTAACATAATTAATAATTAGTTGTAATATTTTAAATAATGAGATTAGATAATAAAGCACCTTTATAAAGATAAAATTATGTAATGTTTAAACATAATTTTTGGACAAATTTATAGCATAAATTACATAATAAATTCAGTTACTATTCTGGAATATAATAGTTAAGTTTTCAGAAAAATAAAACAAATAAATAAATACATGATAAACAAAATAATACTTACTGAAAATATTTATATTTTGTTATCCAGTAAAAGCTCTAGCAAGTGATGCTCCACTGCCACCTAAAATATATAAAATATTAAAAAATAAATTATTGAAATAGAACATACTTATACATCGCATATGCTTTTGTCTTACAATTTATAAATTAAAACATAATAATTACTACTTATTAAATAATTTACTTTGATTTTATCTTTATTTTTTATAAGTATCATAATACTAAACGATATACTATAATAAGAATTCAGTTACTTCTGCTGACTTAATTTTTAGTAAAATAATAAAGACATATTATTACTATGCATAACATTTTAATAAATATTAATTTTATTTACCAGTATTTTGATAAGGTTGTTTGGTCTGAGAACTTGTAGGAACATTATTTGCTTTTGATCCTGATATTAAAATTAAAAAAATCATGCTTATAAAACCAAATACAAAATTTAACTTCATTTTTGAAAATATTAAACTGATTGATTCAATTAATCCACTGAATAAGTAGAAATCACAGCTCCATTAATTTATATCAATCTCAGTTTGCTTATGATAATTTTATTTCAAAAAAATATTCTTAGTTTGTTTAATATTGCAAAAATCGACAAAAATGTGCTGTGATATGTAAATATTGATACTTTGTTAATACAATTGTGTAATGTTAAATAAATAATTTTGTAATACTTCATTCTTATAAATATTTCAGACGAGAATGAAATTATTTGTTAGTAAAAAGATGAGTTATTCGAAATATCTTCTTAGAGAAAATTCTTAGAATTTAAAACAAACCTATAATAGATTATTAAAAAAATATTTTTGTATGTGTTGTATATTATATGTATATACTTTTTGACCCAAGTTTCTTGCAAAATTTGATGAATGGACAAACCATTTGATTTTTATAGTCCTATAAATTAATGTACTAAAAATTACTATCTTTAAGCCAAAAATAAATCTGTATTTGTACTTTTAAATTATTTATTTTTTGTCAAAAAGTCAGGTCATACAACTCTTAAGGCAAAATAACACTCACATCTTAAAATATTAATTCAAAATCAATTTAATATGATCATGGCTGTACATAAAACATATTTATTACAATTTTAAATATGTTTTGACATAACATTTTCAGGCTAATGAAATCGAGTTTTTTTTGTCAACTTGATCAATTTTGTTTTTTCTTACTTTTTTTGGCTTTCTTAGAAGAACTTCTTTTTTTATTTTTATTCCTTTTTTTGTTGGACAAAACTTGTTTATTATTTGTACCATCATCTTGTTGTTTTTTCAACTTTGGAGGTACAGTTGATAAATCTACCTCAGATTCGATATTTGGTTCAGAAGTTGACTCAGATGGAGACAAAACTTGACTATTTTTTTCATCTTTGGTAGAATTTTCAGAAATTTTACTAGAATCTGAAACTGTAGCATTTGGAATTTGGATATCCACGTTTTGATTACTAGAATCTGTATTAGATTCACTTATTTTTTGCTTTTTATTATCATTTGATGGTACTGAATTGCTTTGGTTACCATCACTATTTATGGCTTGAGATTCTTCCAAAAATCTTCATAGGAATGTATTGATGTAGTTGTTTCTGGAATTTGCTCTTTATTTATACTAGTTTCAGTACCAGGTTCATCAGATTCATCAACGTTTTTTTGACTTTTTGGACTTCCAGAAGATTCATCAGTTACATTTGTAGATTTTTATCAGTTTCTGTACCTAGATTTTGTTTATTGGTACCTTGTTCTGTAAAATTTGTATTTGCATATGACGGATCCTCTTTAGGTTTAATTTGTGATTTTTTACTTAAAGTTTGTGGAAATTCTAAGTTATCATCTTCATTATTTGTGATGGAACTTTCAAGAATTCTATTAGATTCTGATTCTGTATCTTAGTTGTCCTATTTTTGTTCATCAGAATTTGTACCAGATTTAGCTTGTTCTTTTGATTTTTGTTCTCCAGGATTTTCATCTGTATTTTTGCTTTCAGATTCACCAGAATTTTCTAAGTTATTATTTTCACTATCTTTGACAGAATTTTCAGGAATTTTATTAGTTTCTGATTCTGTGTCTTGATTGTATATATTTTGTTTACTAGAATTTGTACCAGATTCAACTTGTTCTTCTGAGTTTTGTTTTCCAGTACCCATATCACTTGCTTTTGGAAATTTTGGATTGTTATCTATATTTTTGCTTTCAGATTTACCAGAGTTTTCTAAGTTATTATTTGCATTATCTTTGATGGAATTTACAGGAATTTTAGCAGGTTTAGAAACTCCATCTTGGTTGTCTATTTTTTGTTTACTAGAATTTTTACTAGATTTAACTTGTTCTTCTAATTTTTGTTTTCTAGTACCATCACTTAGTTCTGTAGATTTTGGATTTTTATCTGTATTTTTGCTTTCAGATTTCTCAGAATTCTCAATTGGTTTTGATGTAGTAGTGCTTTGAATTTGTTTTGACTCTTTACTAGTTTCAGTGTTAAGTTGATCAAAATCATTCTGTACTTTGTTTTCTAGAGTTTCAGAAGACACGTCAGATAAATTTTGTCGATTTGAATTTTGATTATTAAGATTATCATTATGTACAACTTTTCCATCTTGAGTTTCATTTTTAACACCTTGATCTTGTATTTTTATATTATGTTTTGAATATTGTACATCTGTGTTTTGTTCTTGTAATAGATGTTTTGAAGATTTGACTTTTTTGTCACTTGATATGGGTGTAGACACCACGTCATCATCTTCTCCATCTTTTTCAAAACTTGCACTTGAATTTAAATTTGCAGGACTTCCTAAAGTAGTTGATTCTTGAGTATCTGCTACTTGTTCACCAGAATCTGTACCAGATTCATCAAATTCTTCTGGTATCTGTCTTATAACATTATTATTTTCCTGTGGAAGATCTTGGTTTTTATTAGTACCCGTATCTTCAGAAAGTTTTAGATTACTACCAGTATTTTTGTCTTTAGATTTTTTCAAATTCTTTATGGGTTTTTTTGTAGTAGTTTCTTGGTTTTGCTCCTGTTCTGCACCAATTTTAACACTAAGTTCATCAGAATTACTTTCTCCGGGACTTTCAGAAGTAGAATTTTTAGCCTTTTGTTGATCTGGGTTATCCACATTATCTTCTTGTTCGCCAGATTTATTCACATCATCCTTTTCTTCAATATTATGTGATGTCTGTAAACTTTCGTGGTCGTCATCATCATTTTTACCTTCAGAAGAATTTTGGTCGTCATCATTTTCTTTGCCGTCAGAATTTTCTAAAGTTTCAATTTGTTCTGATGTTGTAGTTGATTTGTCTGGGATTCCTACTTTCTTTTTACCAGTTTTAGGATCATTTTGACCAGATTTATCCACTTCCTGGTTTTCTGGACTCTCAGAGGAATCTTGTAATGCACTTTTATAGTCTTGTCCAGGCTCTTCTGTGCCTTCAGATTTTGTATCTTCAGATTCTTCAGAACTTTCAATTGGTCTTGATGTAGTAGTTGTTTCCAATGTTGTGGTTTCTTGGTTTGACTTTTTATTTGTACTAATTTCAGAATCAGATCTACCAGATTTATTTGATCCAGGATTTTCTAGACTTTTAGAAGGTTTATGAGGAGCATCTTTAATATCTTGTTTTTCATTTGAATAGGGACTTGGGTCATCTCTTTGATCTTGATCATAATCTTCATAACCTTGATCATCATCTTCATAACCTTTATATTGTTCTTTTGGATCCGGATAAATTGATGGATAAACACTGTTCTTTTTATTGTCCAAATTATCATTTAGTTGTTGCAAACGTTTTAAATATTTATCTATAACATTTAAGTAAAATTTTAGTTATTTTTTAAATATTATATATATTTAACATCAAAATACAATACCTCGTAAAGTCCATGGTAACTTAACAATTTTAGCCACAATATCCTTCATAAGTTGCACCAATTTTGATATATGTTGATTTAAGGCTGATGCTCCACCACCTTGCATATAATCATGAATAAATTATTGATTATTATAAATAAATATTTGAATTTGTTTCTTTACCTAAAACTAGAGGAATTGACCAAGGACTACCAGAAGCCATATTCCAAGAAGGCGAAAAACTATTAGTAAATCTATCAGCAGCTTTTGTTAAACTAATATCATTTTTACCAAAATTCAGAGAAGGATTTCTTAACAAATTAAATCCATAACTAGACAAAACACAACTTGATACTAATAAAACTATAGCCAAATGCATTTTCGGTGCAATTTTTTAAGCACAAAATTTTAAAGTGATGCATTTTTAAGATGGATCTCTATTTATACAGATTTTTTGTACAATTGGCGTTGTTTTGGAAAATTTTGATTTTAAATGGTTTGTTTTTGTGTATTTGGTTAAATTGTGCAATATTTATATGAAAATATTTGTTCACAATTTGTATAAATTATATCACAAATAAATTTGTTTTGATTGTTTTACATAGAATTTAAGAACACGTAAGAAACGTGCACAATTATATAGCATATAAATAATAAACTATTATTTTTTATGAATAAAAATTAAGCTTGTTGTAATCTTGATTAGAATTAAAGCTGAATTTTTTTTAGTAAAGATTTTTTGCCAAGTCGTTTCCAAGAAGATAATGAATCTTTGCACAGTTTATTGTGCATCGTAAAATATTAGAGGCTTGCGAAAAGCAGTTACAAAAATTGCAGTTGCATTATAAAAATTCTTTGAAGTTTTGTTTAAGACATATAATTATAGATATTTATTTATTATCAGCTTGTTTGAAAAATATTAATTTAAAATCGAATTGAGTATTTTTCAGTGATTTTTATTTAAAGTAAACAGTTGCAAATTTTGTAAAAATAACTAAATCTCAATTTTTATTGAAAAAATTATTTACACATATTGGCAAGTTTTTGCAACTTGCCTTAAGGCCCATGGACACTTACATCTAGTTTTCTTTTCATATATTTTTATTTGAGAAGAGATTTGTGGTGATTTCTTCTATTACAGACATATACACCGAAATTGTTCTTTCATTTTTATTTAAAAAAATATTTATATAAGATGGGCATATATTATATGATTTTATTATGCTAAATAACAAACAACTTATAATCTGTTAAGACACAGAAAAACAAATCTTTTAAAAAAAAGTAGTTTTTTATTTGTTTCTATAAATTCATAAATAATATAACAAAGAAATGGCAATACCGTTTTATAGATTATCACAAATTAAATACATATTTATAAAAATTTAATAAATATTTAACAGAATTTTATCAATATCAGTTATTTCCACAAAAATAACTCTAAAGGCGCAAACTTGAAGAACTAGTGGTATTTTCTCCATTATTTGGCAAATTAAATTTTGTTTGCAACATTTCGACCAATTTTGCTAAAGTCTGCTTAATTTCTGCAAGTGGCTGAACTGTAAAAATATTTATAAAAATATTATTATTATATATTATTTATTCATTCATTACCAAGTAATAATCAATTTTGAGAAAGGTATATTTTTCAAACATTTTTTTTAAATTATATCACATATTAATTTATTACTTACATATAAGTGTTAATATTTTAGTACCACGTTGGCCAAAATCTCCAAAAGGTGAAAAAGAATATACAGTTGATGGAAGTATTAAAGAAATTAATAAAATTCCGAAAAATAATTTCGAAAATTTCATTTTTTCTATTTATAAAATTTTAGTTATAAACTGCCAAATTGAAGTGATAAACTGAATTTACTTTTCATAATTATATATTAAATTTTAGACTTGTTTATTTATTTAGCTATTTATTTAGAATTATGAAATTTATTAATTAAATTAATATATATTGATATAAAATTATTGTTCATAACATTTTGTTTTGTATTTGATTTGTTTGACGTCATTGAAGTAAAATTTGAAAAACTAGATTCAAAATAGAATTTTAAAGTGCAAAATAGTTACATTTTGCCAATAGGCTAAAATTGCATGAACTTTTTTATATGTGTAAATAATATTAATAAATTTATGCTGATTTTAAAAGATTTCTAAATTTTCGTTTTTGAGTAAACGTCGACGTAAGGTCAAAAATCTGTTCACACACACACACACACACACACATTTTCAAATTTGGTCTCATTCGATTCAGAATGGCTTGAAATGTCGAAAAAAACATAAAATTGGCAAATCGGATTTTTTGGCAAAAACATAAACTTCGTAAAGTTAATATTGTATACAAACATAAAAAACATAAGGTTAATAATGTATCAATTTTTTTATATTGAAAACACAATTTCAAAATCAAATAGTTCTTAATATATTGTTATGAATGTATAAACAATATAACAAAGAAGTGGCAATACTTTATTTTACAGGTTATCATAAATTAAGTACATATTTATAAAAATTTAATTAATATTTAACAGAATTTTATCAATATCAATTATTTAAACAAAAATAACTCTAATGAACTAAATTTGAAGAATCAGTGTCACTTTCTCCATTATTTGGCAAATTAAATCTTGTTTGCAACATTTGAGTCAATTTTGATAATAAGTCCTTGATGTCTGACAGTGGCTGAACTGTAAATATTTTTTTTTTTAATTTATTTATTCAATAATAATTATTATTTTTGCAAGGTATATATTTTAAACAAATTACAATACTTACACTAATTTTTATTACTTACATATAGCTGTTAAGAATCCGAAGCCATTTTCACCCCAATTTCCTAAAGGTTGGAAACAAAAAACTGATGGTAAAATTATAGAAATAAGTAAAACTACAAAAAATAATTTTGAATATTGCATTTTTTATTTTTTAAATTTACTTGAGAAAATTGCCAAAATATTGCCAAATTCGAACTGATAACGAAATTTGCTTTGCTCGTTTTTTATATATGAAATTTTGTGCCTTGTTTATTTATTTAGCATAAAAATTTATTCAAAATTATGCAATTTATAAACTTAATTTAAATTCTGAATGATAAGTATCTTGTAGTTATTGTTTAATTTGTTTAACGTAAAATAAATGAAATTTAACAGAAAAAATATTCACTTTAATTCTATAAAAAATTAGCAGTTAATTTAATATTTTTTTTAAGTTTCTGATAAGTTTTTATTAAATAACATAAAAAATACTGATTTGAAAAAAAATGTAAAAGTGCAACAAAATGTCATAAAAAATGTGCTAAATGAATATTTATCAAGGTAAAAGTTGTATATAAAATTTTGCTTTAAAAAATAAAATTCAATGATTTTCTCAATATTTATTTATTATTTTGTGATGAATAAATATATTTTCTTAATAAATTTTCTGAAGGTTTTTTCTAAGGTTAGGAAATTATAAAGATTTATATAATGTATATTTTTTCATATGCACTGTATGCAATTTATTAAAATTTAAAAAAGTATTATAAATTTATAAAGGAATATGTAAATTTTTTCACAAAATATTTCTTAAAAAATGTATAAACACTGTATACAATTTATTAAAATTTAAAAAAGTATTATAAATTTATAAAGGAATATGTAAATTTTTTGACAAAATATTTAATAAAAAATAACTTATCAATATTATAAATTAATTTGGAGTAAAATTCAAGAAATACTGATTTGAATAAAATTTGAAAGTACAACAAAATTTCATAAAAAATGCTAAATATATATTTATTAAGGTAAAAGTTTTTTTATAAAATTTTGTATTAATATTAATTTAAATTAAATGACTTCCTCAATATTTATCTATTATTTTGTGATAAATAAATGGTTTTTTCTTAATAAATTTTCTTCTGAAAGCTTTTTAATGATAAAAATTATAAAGATTTAGATAACAATTTAAATAAAAATGTACAATGTATTTTTTTACTTAATAAATATCTATTTAACAAAATAATTTAATAATTAACAACTTGGAATAAAATTCAAGAGTTTAAAACTAAAATTGCTAAATTTGTTAAATCACTATACAAATGAATATACATAATTTTGTCAATACTATTATAATTTTTATCAAACAATTTTATTTAATATCATTGTCCAAATTAAATAAATATTCTGACATTTATTCAAGTAAAACCATTAAAGTTAAGATATTATTTAAAATATTTTTGGCTTGCGTTGAATGAAAAAAACTCAATTTTTTTATAATTGCATTTATTTTAATAAGTCGATAACAAAAAACAAGTTAACAAAATAAACAATTAATCACATATTAGTCATGTCCAGAAATTTTTGCGGAATTTTTTTAACCTGCTCTCATAGCTGTAGCAATTTTTCCTATTAGTCCAGGAAGAGTATCAGGAACTGCAAAAAAAAATTAAAAATATATGATTTAAATATTTTATAAATTTTACATATATAATGAATATATTATGTTCAAAAGGTTCATATAGTTCATATAATTTTTAGAGAGATTTATTACGATATAGTAAAAATTAAGGGTTGTAAGTGGTTTTCGATATTTTTTTACAACCCTAAATTTTCACATTCTCACCTTAAACACCTTATCTTGTAGTAATTAAATTATTTTTTCCTCTTTTAGTCAATGAATTTTTTTTTCATTATATGTATAAATTGTAATTAGGATTTTTTTGAGCTTTTGGAAAAGCTCAAATTTTACTTTAAAAATGAATTAAATTTTACAAGTAATTTTATTTTTTTGGGTCAAATCTCTATTTTTTATAATGCAGTATTAAAAAGCACATATATCATATCACAAAAGTCTATTTTTATTAAATTAATCAGTTTTGGAAAAGTTTAAATTTTACTTTTAACAGCAATTTAATTTTATGAAGATTTTTAATTTTTTTAGATTAATTTCTTTTATTTGTTTTTATAATGGGGTATTGAAAACCACATACAACCTTAAATTTTTACCCTACTATCACAAAAGTCTATTTTTATAAAATTAATCAGTTTTCGAAAAGTTTAAATTTTACTTTTAACAGCAATCTAATTTTATGAAGATTTTTAATTTTTTTAGATTAATTTCTTTTATTTGTTTTTATACTGGGGTATTGAAAACCACATACAACCTTAAATTTTTACCCTACTATCACAAAAGTCTATTTTTATTAAATTAATCAGCTTTTGGAAAAGCTCAAATTTCAATTTTAACAACAATTTAATTTTATAAGAATTTTTAATTTTGTGGGTCAAATCTCTATTTTTTTATAATGCAGGACTGATAAGCACATATAGCCCTAAATTTTTACCCTGCTACCACAAATGTCTATTTTTATTAAATTATTCATGATTCATCATTTTCTGAGAATTGTTTTTCAGAGAATTTCAATAAATATTTTCTTGATGCTTAAAATTTTATAAACTGTTTTTAGTTTTTGTGCAAAAATATTTTTTGATAATTCAGAGTATTATTTGTAAATAAATAGTAAAGCTAAATTTGTATCGACGATTGAAAATCTTTATCAAAAATCGCAACTATATTTTGTCTAAAAGTGAGCATTATTTATGCTTTTTTTTCATTTGTTTGGGTCAATAATATAACCCTCTATTTTTATCCTCTTAACACAATCTCTATTTTACTAATTCTATCATTTTTTGTGAAAGCTTTTTATTGATTGAAAATTTTCCTAAGGTTCGAATTTTGTGCCAGAAAATTTGTCTAGAAAGAAACTCTTGCAATTTAGTATATAAGATACAAATGTAAAAAAAACTTTCACAAACTTTCTGCTAAATCCATAAATATAATAAAATTATATAATTATTTCTCTAATTTTTACTTAAATTGTGCTCTATATATTTTATTTTTATAAAATGCAGGCTTAAAAGCACATACAACCCTAAATTTCAACTCTTCTAGTAAATATCTCTATTTTATTAAACCAACAATTTTTTTCTTTTGGTGAATTTTGCAAAAAAAAATCGTAAAGCATGAATGAATTTTGTGTCAAACTCAAATTTTTTGTAACAATTTTGTAAAATATATTTATTAGAAAATAAATTTTGTAAATTTGTGAATGAATCGTCATACAAAAATGCAGAATTCCTGCGCCTGAAAAAAATCTTTGGCGATCTTTATATATATATATATATATATATATATATATATATATAAATTCTTGCAACAATTACGTAATTCTTGAATTGTAATACAATTTGGATAAATTTAAAAAAATTATACTCACCTTTTAAATTTCTACCAACCCCAGGACCATTTTCTTCAGCCCCATCACCTCGAAGATCATCTTGTCCTAGGACAAAATTAAAAACCATCACAAAATAAATTACAACCAAAAATAACAAAAATTTGTTGTTAATCATTTTTAACAAAGGGATTTTTTTTATAAATATATTCATATATTTTTATCACTTAAAATGTTTTAACATTTTGGTTCTGCTGCATCTTTTTATATAGTCACAAAAAATCATTCAAAATCTGTAAATGAAATAATTTTTTATTTATTCTGAGCTACAAGATTGTAAATTATTTTGCAACTTTTTTTATGAAATCAGAAGTCAATTGATTTAAATTGTTGCTAAAGTAAACATTTGCAAAATTTCTTGTTTATTTTTTCAAATTGGAAAATTGTAAATTGCTTTCTATTTAGGTACATGATTTACAAACTAAAATAAATAGAAATTACTAAGCAAATACTAATTTGTAAGTTACTTTATTAATTATTTATTTTTTATTACATTGTTTAATTTTTTTGCGTAAATTGAATATTTCTTAGTTTCTAATACTATCTTTCGTACTTTTTTTAAAATTAAATTTATGTTATTGTTTATTATTATTGTTAGATGTTAAATTATTCAGCAGTTGTAATAAATATTGTATTTAAAAAAAACTTCTTAGTGTCTGATTGGAAAAATGTTAAATAAAATTGCTTTTTATTTAGGTATACGATTTACAAACTGAAATAAATGAAAATTACTAAATAGATCACTTCAGTTTGCAAATTAATTTAGTTAATTGTTATAATATACAAGAGTGAAATTTTTGATTATTAAATAAATTTTCTAAAATTTTTTACATATAAAATATTTTTTTGTCCATTAGATTGTCTTGACGAAAACTAAAACTGATTGTTAACAATTGTATTTGTTTATTAAAAATTGAAATTTTTGTTAACTTGTATGTTGGAATTTAAAATTTTGAATATTTTATTTAATGATAAATATTTGTAAATATAATAAACTAGTAGGGTTATAATCAATTTAATTCCATTTTTGTTCAATTATAATTTTAACTTCTGAAGAACTTCTTTTTAAGGCTTTGAACATTCTTTGTGTAATTTTATTTGTAAATATAATTGATTATGAAATTTATAAGTTTTATTGAATTATAAACAATCAATTAGTTTTTGAATAAAATTGTTCTTATTCGTTTTGTTTAAAAATACCTGTATTTTTTAATTGTTTTTAAATAATTTGTGTTTCAGCAAAATGTTTAATAAATTATATTGAGAGCATTTAATTTAATATTTAACGTACAAATTTTGTAAACAATTTTTCAATTAATTTTTACAATGTACAAATTTTATACAATTTTTAAAATATTTTTTTTTAAACAATAATATAATTTTTTTCAGCAAAATTTTGATTTATTCTGCTAAATGGTCATGGTTTTCATGTTCATGTTCTTTTTCATACATTTCAAGATATTTCATAATTTCATTAAGATCATCTAAATAATGATAGTTCCTATGCTTTCTATGCTTTCTGTGCTTTCTATGCTTCTTTCCACATTTATGTTTTTTAGATTTATGTTTTTTAGATTTATGTTTCTTCTTCGGTTTTTCACGAAAATGTTCCTGAAGATCTTCAAAATCTTGTTCCAGAACTTTGAAATCTTTTGTTAACTGAGGTCTTCCATCTGAAATTTGATATAAATATTTTTAAAATAAAAAAAAAATATTAATAAATAATATAGAGATAAAATATTACCTGTTGAATGTGGATTTTTAATATGATTCAGTAGATTGCCATTTTGTGTTTGAGGTTCTGTAGAAAGAAAAAATTTATATTAATAATTCTTCATGAATACGAAAATATATTTTGATTAGATTTTTATTTTATTTATTACCCTACAATTATAATATAAATTTAGCCATACTAAAATCTATTAACATTTGTTAACAAAATAAGATGATACTTTTTTAATTAAAAAATCTTCAACTAATATAATATTTTTATACGAGGTGTGTTCAAAAAGTACCCGGAATTACTAATAATTAAATTTCGCGGGTCTGGAGTGTCTGATTGTCAAAATTTTTTTTTATTGTGTTGGTATACATGCCCCTAAAGTATGATGAAATTTTCAGCTATATTCACTGTTTACTTTGTCTGTGGTAGTCGCTAAGGTTCGACGTGTTTTTCTGAGCTCGGCGATTTTTACAATGGAAGAATTGAAAAAGTCAAAGAATTTGTATTAAATTTTGCGTAAAAAATGAAATAAAGTGTTGCAAAGTGCAGAAATTCACCAGATATGGCTCCGTGTGACTTTTTCCTATTCCCAAAGTTGAAGAGACCCATGAAAGGACGGCGGTTTTCCTCGATTGAAGAAATAAAGGCCGAATCGCCGAGAGTGCTCAAGGACATATCAAAAAGTGAATATCAAGGGTGCTTCGAAAATTGGAAAAAACGCTGGCATAAGTGTATTATATCTGGGGGGGACTACTTTGAAGGGGACCACATTAATGTAGACGAATAAATAAATATTTTTTTGAAAAAACGAAAATTCCGGGTACTTTTTGAACAGACCTCGTATATCACAAGAACCAATTTTACTTAAAATATCATTTTAGTAATAAAAATTTTCTATGTTTAATTAATTTTTCAATTTTTTCTGGTTATAAAAAACAGATACTAATTTTTGAAACCTTATTATTAATATTATATATTTTAAATAAATTACTAATAATTAATACATTACTAATGTATAAATATTTAATAACTTGCCTGAAGGATCTCCTCCAATGAATTTTACTGGTTGAGATTTTTCGAAATTTGATTTTTCTTCAGGATTTGCATCTTCAAGTTGTTGTTTTTTCAAATTTTCACATAAAGATTCTTCAAATTGTATTAAAATTACAAAATATACACAATATAGAAATATGTACTTCATTTTGAAGACAGCAACAAGTTAAAAAATAAATATGTGTGTTAAAATTTTTTAGATATTTATTCCAAAATTTTATTATTTCATCACATGTTTTTACGAATTTGTTTGCTCAAATTTTGAAATAGCCCGAAAATAAATATTTTTATACAAAAATATTATTGCACAAATTTGGCATAAATAATAGTTTAGTTATAAATAATTATTTATAAATTTGTGGACACTGCAAGTTGAAATTAAATGAAAATTAGTTGACGCAGTTTGAAAATATTTTTGTATATTTACATTTTTTTTTATTTGATTCAAAATGTAATTTATTTCTCAGACTTCTGTTTTTTTTTTTCAAAAAAAAGTTATGTATGTGTGTGTATTATTTTGTAATAATATATGACTGACATGGCTCTATATGATACTTTCATTAAAAATTCAAATATTAAGTATTTGAATTTTTAATAAAAGTATCATATAGAGCCATGTCAGTCATATATTATTTAAAAAAAAAATTAATGATTTTCCAATTCCAAAAATCATTTATCATAATTTATAACTGACTGTAAAAATGTGTTAATTGGCAAAAAAATTATCTCTATATAACAAATTAAATTTTGCAATGTATTTTATATGAAATATACCTATATAAAAGAAATCACTTAACTAAATTTTTAAAAATCGTAAATTTACATAATTTTGTAATATGTAGTTACAATTTTCACTTATACCTCAGAAGAAAGATTACTGACTTTGTTGTAAAATTTTTAAATTTGAAAACAGTAGATAATTATAATTACTCTAAATAGCAAATTAGTTTTTATGTATATCAAAATGATTAACAAAAAATATTCCAAGGATTATAAAAAAGATAAATTTACTAAAAATGATTTTTGCAAGTTGATAAAGGAGTTATGTGAAAAATTAACCTTTAAATTTATTGGTAGTTGAATATTGGTTTTAAAATTGTTTTTTTTTTTTTTAAATAATGAATATACTGAAATGTGTATGAAGATGTCATTAAAAATTATTTTATGTGCGAGTTATATTAAAAAATTAAAACAACGAAATATTTTGCTTGATTATTTATTATAAGTGGTGATGAAAATATGATTCATATAACAATTTATTTATTTTATTTTAATATTTGAATCTTCTGATTTAACCTAGTTTGTTGACTAACTGATCACTAAATGTCTGGGCATCTAAAATAAGGAATACAGTATTGTTAATATTGCATAAATATTATTATTACATAATAATTTTCTTAGTTTTAATTTAACTTACGATCTTTTGCTTTATCAACTAAGCCTTTTAAAGTATCAGTCCATGCTCCTTCTGCAACATTTATTGACATTGACAAAACCACCAAAATAGCAAAAAAAATCAAGAAAGACGATTGCATTTTGTACTATTTTTTTAAATAATTTTTAATAATATTTTTTGATATTTGGATTGTTGTATATTATTGTAATACACTTCACCAAGTTATAACAAATCTCTCTACCGACCTGATTTTATATACAAAATCTATATGATTTAAAAAAAACCACATTATTTTTAAGAAATATATTTAACTGAATATGTGATTTATTTAAATCATTGCAAAATAAATACATGCACATACTACAGTCTAAGGATAATTATTAAATATTGCAATTTCTTATGAAATAATAAAAGATTTCATAAAATATTAAATATTGCATATTCATATTTTATAACGTTATTTTATTTAATTGCAATTTTATTTATTTTAATTTCACCACTTCTAGACAATCGTATAGAAGACTAACTAATTGAATATCAGTCTTTGTAGAAAATGGATTTGATTTAGAGCTTAATTTTTGACAAAATCTATATGTAACTAGTGGTGTGTATGGCTTATAAAAACAAAAAGGATTTTAAGAAATTTTGTTCGAATATAATGTTACCATTATACGATAGATTTATTTCACAATATTATCACACAATATGTATATTGTCAAAAAAGTAGACAAAAATAATCTTGCACTAAATTGATTTTGTTCGAGTAAATTTTTTATATAAACAATATAACTCTACTTTGTATCTAGTAGTGCAAACAAAGATTGCAAGTTACTCGATTTTTTTTAAAAATGTAGTCAATAATTTAGTCGCAGATTTATTTCGAGTCAAGTTTTTGTTACAATTTATATTTAAAAAAATCATTATTTTGATACTAAGTTATATATAACTACTATATATATATATATATATATATATATATATATATTACAATTAATAATAATTAATAAATAAGCTAGATATTGTTCATTATTGAGTGAGTATTTGTACGGAATTGATTTTAGAAGTTTTATTAATTTTAGAAGTTTTATTAAATATTCGACTTTTTCTGATAGACTTTATATCAATAAATATTGTTTATTTGATCTTAATTAGATGTTACAATTTTGATTCATTTAAAAGATATAAGTAAATATAGGCAAACAAAATTGTCTATAGTGAAATTTAACATTATAACACATAGTGGGGTGTGTGGCATCGTGCCTTAAGGCAAATTGCTAGAACTTCCCGTACCGTAACGAAATGTTCGAGGAATACTGAATGTTTTTAAATAGATTATTATTAATATTGTAACATTGTCTAATATTTATAAGAATTATATAAACTGAATTGCAAAGTTAAAATTATTTGTTTAAAGTATATTAGAACTATAGTCAGAATTAAAATTAAAATCTAAATTGTTTTTGATATACAAAAAAAAAATCTTGAAACATTTTTTTTCCAAAAGCAATTATTTAGTTGAAACAAGCAGAAAGTTCTTTGAATCATTCAAATCGGACTCAAAAACTGCCATTTTTGCGGATTTAGCTCCTTATCTTCTAAACGACTGGACCTGTCATTGCCAAAAACTAATCATTACGTCTCTCCGTCCTTGATAACAAATTGAATGTTTTTTAGATCATTCAAATTCAATACTCCGATCTCTCAAAAACTCTATTTCTATTTTCTGCACTCTTTGCCAAAAACTAATCAGAACATCTCCCTATCAATAGGAATCGAATGTTGTTTGAACCATTCAAATCGGTTGATCCGTGCGCCCGAAAACGTGACCGAAAAATTGTATCCATACACACACACATCCATTAGTTTTCTTAGGTATGCCAGTAAAATCTTCAGAAACCTTCAAAACGTCGAGAAATGCAAAAATTTTCATTTTTGATTTTCGGCCCATTTCTATAAAACTACCCTTAAGAGAAGATAAAAAAATCAACTTTGAATTAATATAAAATAATTACATTTTGTATGTTTTTAGTATAGTGTTTTAGATTATGCGTAGAATAGTACATTACGTCAATCGTACAAAATAAATGATTTCAATGGACTTTCTTTAACATCAGTTAGAAAAATTCTTCTAATCTTCACATAAAATAGCAGATAAATATCCAAACCAAAATTAAGAAATTAAATGAAATGGATTTTAATATCATCATTAAATATTTGGATATATACTCGTATGAGAATTATAAGTAAAAAAACACCTTATTATTTATAATCAACTTTTATTTACTTTTTTATTAAAATGAATTTTAAGAAAATTTTGATCAATTGTGCTAAAGTTCTCTGATAGTCTTCAGATTCAAATTGCAAACCAATAGAAATCGTTATTAGCCACAGTAAATCCTGTCCAGTTGTTAATTTTATTGTTTTACTTTATAAATGTATGATGTGGCATTGCTCCTCCAAAAATCCCACTAATGCTGTCCAGGGCTGTATATTTAAGAAAAATTTTATTGTTAATAAATAATTGTAAGCTATATTTATAAATTTCATACAATTTCTTGCTTTTTCTCTCAATTGCTCTGGACTAAGTAGAGTATTTGCTTCAACACTAATAAATAACATTGCGAACGTCATAATCACGAAACAAAATAACAAACTTTTTGACTCCATTTTTTACGTTGCTTCCTCAAATATGATATTTTAATAAAACAATATACAACTATTAATAAATCATGCCATCATTCTGATTTTATATACAACAATTTTGCTCAATGAAGAATTAAATTATGTATCAAGAATATACTTAAAAACAACGTAATTCACGTATCTGTTACAAAACTTAGCAAATTTCACAGTAATAAAAAGTAAATATTTAATGAAATATTGCAAGAAATAAAAATTTCATTGCAAATTATCTACCGATGTTAATTTCAACATTTAAAATTGAATATTTTTGAGTAAATTAAATGAAGACGTTTTGAATGAATCACATTTAAAATCGGTTCAGTTGTTAACTTCCCGTAGAGCAAGTTATAGTAATCGCAAAAAAATTGAAAATGAAAATTTTTATATATCTTTACGTTTCAGAGGTTTCTGAACATTCTGGCATACCTTAAAAAAAAATAGATTTGTGTGTGTATGTATGTGTGTGTGTGTGTGCGGATACAAATTTTTGTCGACGATTTCGGGAACACGGATAAAGCGATTTGAATAATTCAAAAAACATTCGATTCGTATTGATAAGGAGACGTGCTGATTAGTTTTTGGCAAAGGCAGGTCTAGCCGTTCCGAAGATATGAGGCAAAAAGTGCCAAAAACGGTAACTCAATTTTTAAGAGAACGGAGCGTCCGATTTGAATAATTCGAAAAACATTTTATTCGTATTGACTAAATAAAGAATTGATCAAATTTTCATGAAGGCAGGTCTAGCGGTTTTGGAGATCTAACAAAAAAATTAGAAAAAAATGCCACTTGGCGGTCAAAAATGATCATTAGACATGTGCACATCAAATTATCTGATATTTTATAGAGATTTTAACAATAAGTATGAATTTTGTTTGCATTTCTATGGGTTCCGTACCAATGTTTACCCGTTAGACAGCGACGCGGCGCTTACGCGCTTTATATTTTGTCTCTATGCAGTTAAAGTAGTACGATTGCTTTGAAAAAAAGTTCAGAATTTCCAAAATATTTCAAAATAAATGATTTTATATAGAATGATTTAATATGGTTCGAAATTTTATTAAAAGTTTCAA